GTTCAGGGTATAAAAAGGATACTTACACACACACCTACGCACCCATATATGTAGCTGGCAAAGGTAACGTCACTTTTCTGGCCGTCTTGTGCAATTTGTGCAGCCAGCTATATGGCTCAAAAGTCAATAGATAACGATAAGGTATCGACTTGAAAATACTCTTTAATCAATGGATAAATTGTTTCACATGCACTTGGGATTATATGGCTTGATTAGTAAATTATCTTTTAATTTTTAGGGTATCCGTCGAGAAAGCTTCATAATAATTTTCTGACCTTATCTAAATCTATGACATATGTAGAAACATTTTCTATAATTAAGAGATATACATATTTTTGAAAAATGTAAAAAAAAAAAAAAAAATATTTCTTATTTTAAGACATTTTTTTTTAGAAATTACTTTAAAAAACCAGATAATTGTTACTTTTTCAACATTTCCTGATTTTCTATGAAGTTGAAGCATAAAGAAAAAATTATAATAATAGAGTTATTGGAAATCTGAAATTTAAAAGTAATAGAAAAGAGCACTCGCAATAATTTAATTGCTCTAAGGAAATACAGATCCATTGGAGCACGAAACACCTTTAATTCCCTAGCTAATCTGTGAGAACGAAAAAGATGAATGTCTTTCCAGGGTATAGAAGCAAACATATACATGTATGTATATTTTTATTTCAGTTCTCTCGACTTCTGCTATTCCCGTTGCCATTTCCATTCGCATTCGTCGTTCATTTTGACGCAGATTTAATTACAATCCTTGCGCCACTCTGGTGCTGCTTTTACGTTTACGTTAACGTTTGTTGCATGCGCTTGTGCGCGTTGCCTCCAACCACGATCTTTCTCAGGATGACAGCGCTTTGTCGCCGCTGCAGCATATGTAAGCAGCTGCAGAGGCAATCTCAACTTCTGCCTATTTTTCTAGTTCTGGTTCTGTTTCTGGATTTTGCTCTGTTATTGCATCTGAGCATATGTATATATGTATGTAACATTCCTAGCTGGGTTAGAGTAGCTTCCGTTTTTGTTTAACAACAAACAAACAATGCGGGGAGTGAAAATCTCATACGTGGTAACTTCTCATCGGCAACGTTGTTGTCTGCTACTCTTATGCACTTTGCAAATTGAATTTTCCACTCGCATACGCAGCGAACTTGCAACAAAGAACGGAAGTGCCAAGTACAGGCGAATGACATTTCCTCTGCTCAGACTTACATAATTTTTGCACTAGCTTTAAGAATATCTGTATCTGTAGAGGGGCCTAGACAAGAAATTCATTGATTATTTATATTTATATTTATATTTATATTTGTATTTATATATATATTTATATTTATATTTATATTTATATTTATATTTATATTTATATATATATTTATATTTATATATATATTTATATTTATATTTATATTTATATTTATATTTATATTTATATTTATATTTATATTTATATTTATATTTATATTTATATTTATATTTATATTTATATTTATATTTATATTTATATTTATATTTATATTTATATTTATATTTATATTTATATTTATATTTATATTTATATTTATATTTATATTTATATTTATATTTATATTTATATTTATATTTATATTTATATTTATATTTACATTTGTTTTTATATATATATTTATATTTATATTTATATTTATATATATATTTATATTTATATATATATTTATATTTATATTTATATTTATATTTATATTTATATTTATATTTATATTTATATTTATATTTATATTTATATTTATATTTATATTTATATTTATATTTATATTTATATTTATATTTATATTTATATTTATATTTATATTTATATTTATATTTATATTTATATTTATATTTATATTTATATTTATATTTATATTTATATTTATATTTATATTTATATTTATATTTATATTTATATTTATATTTATATTTATATTTATATTTATATTTATATTTATATTTATATTTATATTTATATTTATATTTATATTTATATTTATATTTATATTTATATTTATATTTATATTTATATTTATATTTATATTTATATTTATATTTATATTTATATTTATATTTATATTTATATTTATATTTATATTTATATTTATATTTATATTTATATTTATATTTATATTTATATTTATATTTATATTTATATTTATATTTATATTTATATTTATATTTATATTTATATTTATATTTATATTTATATTTATATTTATATTTATATTTATATTTATATTTACATTTGTATTTATATATATATTTATATTTATATTTATATTTATATATATATTTATATTTATATATATATTTATATTTATATTTATATTTATATTTATATTTATATTTATATTTATATTTATATTTATATTTATATTTATATTTATATTTATATTTATATTTATATTTATATTTATATTTATATTTATATTTATATTTATATTTATATTTATATTTATATTTATATTTATATTTATATTTATATTTATATTTATATTTATATTTATATTTATATTTATATTTATATTTATATTTATATTTATATTTATATTTATATTTATATTTATATTTTCAGACTGTTAATAACCAGAGATCATAAGAGCTAGAGACTGAAAATTTGAAATATAGGTTCTCATATATCACGAGCACATCAAGATTATTTAGGTTTATTGATAACTGCCTCCGTCTTGAATCTATCTTTTTCCTATAGCATGAAAGCCACAGTTTTCAATTAATATATGAAATATATTGGCATTCTTTCGATCAATTACCCAAATTTCATTAAGATCGAATAAAACATACACAAATTTTAGTCGAAAATGTATTTTCATATTGATCTCGCTACTATCAGCACGCGCAAGCATTTCCTGTATATGTAAATTTGAAAGCATGTGCGAGAAAGGGATAGCACGTTTGGCACCTACCGGTGGTTTCAGTTCAAGCTTGTGAATAAGTACTAATAATAAATATGTAAATGTGTTGCTTTAGTTTATTTTACTCTTCAGTGCTTGAGCTGTCATAATTGAAATGAGTCCAACTCAAAGAAAAAATTTTAAAAGATATTTGGCAATAAAACTATAGTATATTTAACAGCTGTGTTCGGGGTATATCGTAGCGAGCTCACTCGACTACAGCATTCGTACTTGTTTATTTTGGTTTTTATTTTTATTTTATTGTAAACTTTTGCATCCAATTACATACAAATATATGTTACATAGATATGTCACAACTTATTCACATAGAGCTCCATAATAAATACTTTTATGAAATAATAATAACTAGCTATATTTGTATTTACTTAATCTGTGTAGTTATATGTATGTGTATTGCTAGACATACATTTAGCTGAGCTTCTTTATGCTTTTTACGTACGCTTAAAGTAAAAAATATTCATAAACATATTTTTATATTCAACAGCAATTGTTATTGATTAGGTTATGTAAGTACTAAATGCTAATTGGGCTTTACGGACTATTAAATTATTTTTTAAATAGTTTGTCTATAAATAATTAATTTTTCTATACTTTAACATACATTGTAACTGTTTTAAGTCAATATACTTAGTTATATTTACACAATTTTAAAGCATTCTTTAAAAGTTAGAATTAAGATCTTAAATTTTTCAATGTATTTTTTTTAATTGTACTTACACATAATGGAGTTTGAGTATTGACTCCCATATTTACAGCGCTTAAAAATAATTCTGGGAAGTGATATATTCTGAATAATGAATATTTACATTAGAAACTAAAACACCCACGAGATAAACAAAAATATGTTTTTTCAAATTTTTGTAATAATAATAAGTATTAAATTAAAAGCATTTTCAAATTAAATGAATGAAATAAGCTCATCATTTACAATTAACTTGTGTGCTAATCTGTACGTTAACAGTAATTTTGATATATATTTTATATATGCTTATATCACTAGCTAATATATGAGTAGATTTAACATATATTTTTGCTGTATATTTTTCTGTGTGGTTAACTTCTTTTTTTTTAGTAATGGCGCAAAATTTACTATGTAAATTCGCAAAGTATGTTTTTTTATTTGTTTGTAAATACGCTCGTCTAAATGCAAATTTGATTAACAGTGTTTTTATTTTGCTTACTATAGTTAAATTATGTTCATTTACGGGGCTTTTGCTTGTGTTCAGATTTTGCAAGCACTAGCAGATTTTTGTTGCCGTCCTGCATATTTCATAAATTTATTAATAATAAACATTTCAATTTTGAGAATATTTGTATTGATTTCAAAATTATTTGCATGCAGGACAAATAAAAAACGTTCACAGTGATTTTGTAAATATTTCAGTTGCAATTGGCATCTGGCAGTTCGAATTGGTAAAATGTTTAGCAAACTAAGCAAATGTCGGAATAATGTGTTAATAATTATGCAAATTTACCCAACACACAACAATATTATAATACAATTTTAAAATTTCTTAGTAAGTAAAATAAAAGTCTGCCTGCAGCTCGATATTATAAAATAATTGTAAAATTCACTTGAATTTAATCAACATCTTAATTTTATGTTGTGATTCTTATAATGAATGTATTTATTATATTAAATTGAATTTAACCAAAGCTTTCACACAAAGAAATGTACATATAAATGTAAATTATATCAGAACAAATTAAATAGAAATATTGACGTCCTTAATTAAATTCAATGAAGCCAATAATTAATTAAATTTATTTCAATAACATGTAACACTGAGACTACTTTTTAACTTTCTCCTTATGCGTATGAAAATGTAAAACATATTTAAAGTAGTTAGCTAACTTTAGCAAAATGCGGATGTAATTAAAAACTGGTTGAAAAGATCGTAATGCCATTTGCATTGCTGATAATTTATTTAATCCACAGTCGCTGAGGGAAATGCCATTCAACATGATAATCATTTACTTTTCATCATAAACATATCTACGATTAATAGCTTTATATATATACGTATATGTATGTATACATATCGAGTATATAGAGTATGGGATATGAGTTTTCATTTTTGTTTCTTATGCTGCTTCGCACAACTTTATTCTGTTTCTTACTTGTCTAAGTTTGATTCTATTTTTCACGCTCTTTCTCCGCTTCAAGTTGTTGTGCCCTAAATGAGTTTTTTGCAATTATTTGATTTCATCTTGAATACTTGCGCAGGCAAAGCACAGCAAATGTGTTTAACTTGGTTGCTGTTATAGATGTTGTTTTTTGTGTTGCTGCTGTATAAATTTGCGGCAACAATGCGGCCACCTTATTACCAACGGCCCAAAATGTTAGCATTAAATGTTGCCTATGCGCCGCACTAATAGAAAATGCGATGCGGCTGCCGATAAAATGCAGCGGCAGCAACAACAATTTTGGTTTAACAATAGCAACAAGGCAACTGCCAGCTAATATTACTATGCAAATGAGCATTGTCCAATGGCGGTGCGTCACACGCGGCGTATGAGCAATGTTCCACGCCCATTTATTGCTGGTACTCCTGCGGCTTGGGCTGCTGCTGCTGCGTTCGCTGATTTTGGCTGTCCTTTGGCAGATGCTGCTGCTGTTTATGTGTGACTGCGCGCTGACAGCGGTATGCTGGGGCTGAGGCTGGTTTTTCATATTACTCATACGCCACCGACTTGGCAAAGTCGTCGTTCGCAGTGCCGCCAGCAAATAACTCGATAAACGTTTGAAAATCCCAAATGATTGCGTTTTAATGCCGCGCATTATTTTACCAAGTAGATTATGCTGTGCCAGTGAGCCTGCAGAGTTGTGAAATGCTCCGGGCGGATTACGCAAGGGCGTTTGATTGTTATCGCCAGTGTTACCACCATGGTTGCCTGCGAATCGACATAAGAATATGGGAAAGAAAAAGAAAAGGATGTTGGGGATGGTATGAGCTCTTCTGGTAATCAGTTTTTGGTTAGTCGGGCTTATATTTTCATTTATTTTGCGCGTTACCAAAGCCAAAATAGCATTGGATAAATGGATACATCATGGTGGGGGAGGGAATGTATTTTGGGTTGACCATAAAAGAAAATTGTGGTATGCACTTAACAGTTCCTGGTGCCTGACCGGTCAAACAAGTATTGCTAGTTGATTTATTGATTTTGCATTGAGCGTTTGAGTCAATTGATGTTTGGCCTGTCAAATGACTTGTAGGGGAAATGGATTGGCTCATTTGCCCCATAAACCTCGAAGTTGGCAGTGGGATTAAATTATACAACCTCTCTTGGAGATTGCTAAGAAATAATTAAACATCTTTCACGCGAATATCTTGCAACAAACTAAACTATAGTCTATAGTTTTTGCTGGCTTTTGATTATTCAAATATTTAAATGATAATTTCGGTGTAGAGAGAAAGTAAATAATTTAATCACTCAAATCAAATTTGTTGCAATATTTTAGAATTTCTACAAATTGTTATATTTTTTTTTATAGGATTTAAAAAAATTTATTTTAATTCAATTTTAATTAATTAAAATGAAAATTACAATGATATATTAAATATTTGTAAAATATTTTTTTTAATACTTAATAATAAAACCTTGTATTTAATAATTTGAAAAATTGTTTAGTTTGAGAAAGTCTTTAATGTAATTTTTTTTCAGTCTCTAATTACAAACTTAACATAATATCTAAATTGAAATGAAAGGCTTGAATTAAATAATTTTAATTGATTATTAAATATAAAAGATCAGTAAATATATGCACCCATATGTGTTATAATTTTACTTTGACCACAATGACTCTCATCAACTATATTTAAGCTGCTCACTTGGCTGAATGGCTTCCATTTTGGTGCTGCTGGTTGACATCTTCCCCACTACATATTCCCCATCTTGTGTCCTCCCAATATATATATAAATATATATATATATATATATATATATATATATATATATATATATATATATATGTATTTGTCACCCAGTTTTCATTTCCTCTTTCCATATTTCTTGTCTTCTTTTTACAACGTCATTGTGTGTCTTTATATCGTCAATGCATTCGACGAGCGTTGCGACAGCGATTACTCGACAATATTTTACCGTGCTGGGTGCTTCTGTGCGTCTTTATAGAGCTAGCAGTCAATGTACCCAAGCTTGGACAGCGTTGGTCGCTGTCTCTGGCTGATTGAGTACTGTCCCCTCACCCTCCGTCTTGTTGATGTGCTTGCTGCCTTTGGTTTTTATGCACGTCATTGAACGCACTTTGTTGACCGCATGTCAATGTTTGATATATGGCCGGTACAGTGGATCCAGAATCATTTAAAGTTGGTAAAAGGGCAAAACAATTGGACGATATTGGATGCTGAAAATTTAATTTTCCGTGCGTTTATTTTGACTAAACTAATTTTCTAATTACAAAATATTATAATTGTGCAATAAACAAGATGTTTGTAGGAGACAAATATTAATATTTTAGATAATGAGATTTGATTTAAAAATTTCGAAAATTTACTAAGATTTCGATAACTTATTGCCTGATTTGTATGTATTGGATTATATTTGATTATATTTAGGCAAAAATAATTTAAACTTTTTATTATTTTTAATTGCCCACTTTTTCTATTTAAAAATCTAAAGATATTCTCATAAAGATTGAATTTAATTTTAAAAAAAATTCATCCATTACACAGGAATCATATGCGCACCACTGTGAGCAGGCTTACATCGATGGAGTTCATAGTGTTTGTTGGTAAAAGTATACACATACATATAAGGGCTATTATATATATTTTATCTGCTTTTAATCTTTTGGCATTTGGCTTTTCATCAACTGGCGTCATAAATAACAACAAAGTGGTATTTAAGCGTACATTGAGTTTATTTTCCTGCTGGTGTTATAGTCGTTGCTTTTGGTTACTGTCAGTGTTAGCCAATTGTTTTTTTTCTGACTACAATCAAAGTCATAAATATAAAGTGATAGATGCGCTCCAAGGCACAAATAAACACACTTCAAATAAACTAATCTTAAAGGCTTTTCAAGAGCATCAAGTGGAACCCAAACAAATACAAACCCTTCCCACCCTCACACCCACCCTCACCATGCACACACATTATTATTTAAATATGTCCCGCTGCTTACGATCTCCTTTTGTCTATTTGTTTTAGGCTCTAACCAAAATTGAGGCGGAAATTCGTATTGCCCTTTGATTGATGTCAAAGACATAAATATCAGGACAGAGAGTGTGTATATTTGGGCGTGTATGTGGGTGTCTTTGTGAATGCCTGAGTTTCCGCTTGATTGAGAGCACATTGAAAAGGTGTCAGAGCGACACAAACAGACAATTTTGATAGCATATTTCATTCGATGCCAATTCGAGGCAATAAATATTCTCATATTTTTATGCAAGGCAGCTTTGTTCTGATTTTTCAGCTTCAGCAATTTCGCTTCACCCCATATGATATTTTATTTATAAGTTGCGACGATGCCAAAACAAAACGATGAAAACTCTACGTCAAAACTGTCAATAGCAAATCAATCAAAAAGGCATTTTGTGGCAAATTTGTCGTCCTTTTTTTGCGTGGCTTAAATAAAATATTTCTTACTCACTTTTTTCTTGAAAATTGATGTGTGTGTGTCGAAAAAAATCAATATCTTAAGAGTTTTGATTAAGTCTCACAACTTTTACATTTAACTTTTGCTTAAGGTTCGTATATTTTCGATGAAAGTGTTACTTAGCTTACTACTAATTAAACAAGAGCTAGCAACTTTAATAGCCAGGTGAATCAATAAAGAAACGTTATTTTCGTTAGAATTTGCTATACATGCTTCAAGAAGTAGTTGAAGACAATTTTAAAATTTCGTGATAAGGTATAATTATTCTTAATACCCGTTTGAAGAATATTCTTAAGTATCCTGTCAGGTAAGGTATTTTTATTGTTAATTAAAAATTTTTTATGATAAAAGATTATTTTTAACTGGATAGATTATGTGGACACAACAACACTGAAAAATCCATTTGCTCAGTAAATAACTTTGAACTTTTAGCAAACAAAGAATTTTAATATGCTCTTTCACAATTTAGAGAAGCAAAACTAACCTAACTTAATTAGTTTTGATTTATTCCATATTTATATAGTCGACTTGAATAAAATTAACCATTTAAAGACCAATGCAGCGTTCCCCTAATGTAATAAGAATTGAGATTTTTGTGTTTCTTTTATTATTTATTTGAATTGATTATTTGTTCTATATATAAAGTACAATTTAATTTAACTTCTTTAATATTATGTATATTGTTTTTTTTTTTTTGCTTTAAGGGTATTTTATTTTATAAGATATTTATACAAAGCTAAGCTCAAGGCAAACCTTTCTTTTCTTTTTCGTTTCAATTTCTTTTCATTTTTAGAGCAGCTGCAATGCACGACTGCATCTGGCAGGCAGCCCCGCCTGGTTTATCCATAGTGTTTGCTCAGACAAACAATATGGCCTGCCCCTGCCCCTGCCCCTGCCCGATCCTTTCCACCTCCCTCTGGCAAGCGAAAGCCATGGCGCCCGCCCGCACAATTGAGATGCAGTTCATTAGTGCAGTCGGTTGAGCGGCATTTTACGGACGCGTGCTCTAAATAATTGCATTTTAAATGCAATCAACATTGTTGGTAGTAAATATTTTCGGCCATCCCGCGTTTTGTTGCCAAGGATTAAAAGTACTCAAAGAGCAGGCAGCTGAAAATTATTGGCTGGAACTACACTGTAACCAAAAGTTGGTAATGGCTAAGTTATTGCGATTTTTTTAGACTAATTTGCGATATATTTTTGTGAAAATGTTACAGACGACACGCGTATTCTGTGACAGACGTGAATAGTGGTATTGACAGCGGCACAATGTCAGTGTCAATCAGCAGTTAAGCTGTTGCATGTTGCAATTGTTGTTGCTGTTGCGATTGATTGCCTTTTTATTGCAGTAGATTTATTTGGACAGGAAAAGCAAGGTAAAAACTCACCCTCACAATATCAAGTTTTGGGTGTGAAACATTCACAAGCTTGGCTCGCAAGTGTGCATTCGAAATGGAAATGAAATAAAATACAAAATAAATTGTTGCTAGGTTGTGTTTTGTGGTTGCATTTTGTGGCTTAGTTGCTTTTGCACCGCCCCGCCCCGAACATATCTGGCAATTTGCAAGGCACACCGCCCCTCCCTTTCGCTGCCATCATAATGCTGGTTAGCTTTTGTGGTCGGTTTGATGTGAAGTATGCGGGCTGCATTTCGCTTCTGCATTCATTGTGTTTCCATTTTTAATTTTTCTTGTTGTTGCATCTTTTAGGCGCGTAACTGAATATTGTTTTTTATCAAATTTATACGCATTTGGACTGCTCTTTTTAATTGAAATGGCGGCAAATTGATTTATTGGTGTATTATTAAGATTTTCAATAGATTTATGAGATTTTAGAACGATTAGTAAAATTTTTAGGATTAAGCTTTGTATAATTATTAATAACTGGCGCGGGCTAATCTTTGAAGCTAAAAAGAAATGTGTAAACTAATCGTAATTTAAAGAATTTTGTTTGCATAAGAGTGGTACCTTCGACCAGCTGTCATTAAAGTACATTTGAAGCTCTTTTCTCTCAACTTTTTTCAACACCCTTTAGACCTATGAATGTTAAAACATATACTGGTCTGCGCCCGCGACAGACCTTGTTTTATTTTGCGTGCTACGTTCACTGGGCGGCTAGGAAATCGATTATATCTAACAGATATATTGTCAGTAACCGCCCATAAGTACCCAGAAATAATCATATGGCCATGCCCACTCCTGACTCCATAATCGCCAAAAGCAATATTTCTCCCACAATTTTAAAGATATAGTAACCAAATTTAGAAGATAAGCTGCTGGTAACCTCTTTCAAAGATCGGTATATACATTTTCACATCACGCCTACACCCCCCGCTATCTGCCCCACCGGCCATAAAAAACGGAAATGTATCTTCAACAATTTTTAAGATGGAAGATGAAATTTTGATGCATGTTACTGATTGCTGACTTTAAAGATCGATTGAAAAGTTCATATGACAGTGAGATGAATACATTTCGGACGCCAAAAAGTATAAATAATCCTGATCAGATTCAACCACCAATTCAATTTAGTCATGTCAGATCGTCTGAATGAACAAGGCAATCTCAGCGACTATATGAGCTAGAGACTTTAAATTGTTAATAAAACAAAGTTCTCGAACGCTCATAGCAAGATTTTAACTTTTATCGATAGATGACCAAAACAAAAAAAAAAAAAAAAACAAAGATATAAAATATTTTAAAAATATAAATTTTTTGGCTTCCACCAAAAACTATTTATTTGCTTCTCTTTTACCCTTTTGAGTTGATTGCTATTCCATGCTTTATGCACGCTTTATACTTATGACAATTCGTAAATCCAAGATGCGATGCGATGTTGTCCCTTTCGGTGGCAGATAGGGAAATAAAATACATTTCATATTGCCGCCGAATGCGAAATGAAAAGTGCGGAGTTAAAAGTATTGCAATGCAAGCGTCATTTTACCAAAGGGAAATTTAATTAATCTTTAACATTGGTGCTAAACACTTGGCCACTGCCCAGACAAAGGCCACAAGGAAGAAACGCGCCAAGCGAAATGTGCTCAGTGCGAAAATCGCTATAATAAGTTTTACATTATAACAACTGGCAACACGGGAGAAGCCAACTGCTACGCACTTGAAATATGAAAAAATATATACAAAATGAATGAGAGGCAAATGCAACAGCAATGCGAGAGGGAAATAGAGAGTGAGTAAGTGAGATAGAGAGAGACAGAGAGAGAGAGAGATATAAGGGAGAGGAGCAGAGGAACTATGTGCAAATGATGAAAATGTGCAGCGATGGCTATCTAAAAGGCACCAAAAGATTCAGGACTTAGGCTGGCACAAAAGTGGGTGATAGGGGTTTGGATAGGGAAAATACTCGTTGTGGGTACTTACCTTGAGCACCGTCACGCCACTCCTCAACCCCGTAATCAGGCAAAGCGTTAGCCGACTCAAATTTATTTCTATGACGTCTCTTGCCATCTTTTGCAATGTAAAGTTAGTTTAAGTTGTTTTATTCATTTTTTTGTATACAATTTTATGCAGCAAAAATCATTTGGAGTATAAAGAGAGAGAGAGAGAGAAAATAAAAAAAGATAGAGAAAGAGAGAGTTGGACGTGTTTTTTTTTAGTATGGTTGAAGGTACGTGAATAATGTTGGTTTGTTGTTGTTCACGTTTTGTTTATTATTATTTTGTATATTTTGAACATGAAAGAAATACTCAAAAAATAAGTTGAGAAGGTTGGGTGAAATGAGAGAACATACAGAACACATATATAATAATGAATATACATATACAATAATGGTATTCCAAGTATTTTTATTTAATTTTTGCATTTATTTGCATTTAATAGCCGAACAAAGGGAAAAAACACAGCAAGCAGAACAAAAAAAAATATGGTAAAACAAGCAAAACGGACACAGAATATTGCATGCAAGCTCTCATATGGGATAAGGGAGTGAGAGAGAATAATCGGGGTAGATAGGGTTGACTTAGAAAGGGGGCTTTGGCTAGCTGCCAGAACTTCAAGTCTGTCCAAAATTTAACAAAATTTTGCAGTTAATTGCAATGAATATAGAGAGTTGGGAGTCGGTACTCTGTAGAAAACGAGTAATTAAACCATTTCTTAAGCTGTTGCCAAGTAATTTTATGTCTAGAGTTTATTCATACTGTACTATACTACTATTCTATACAATTAATTTTATGGAATAAAATGTGCAAATTTGTATTGTTAAAACAAGTTTTATTGAAATGGAATATCGAACTGATTCTTATTACAAAATTGCCACTTTAATTAAGATCTTTGGGGCTAACTTGCGTGCTTTTTTTTTTACCGATGGTATGCGGTGCATAAAGTTATAAAATAATTATGCAGAATTTATGAATCCAGTTTATACGGGGTTGAGTAAGTTAGTTAGTGCTGAAGATATTTAAAGAAAATTAAAGTTTTAAGAAGTTGACGTGATGTAAACTTCAACTGACTTTAATGAGAGTAGAAAAATATGACTTATATAGATTATATTTTAATCGTAATGCTTACCATAGCTTCTATTTAACATGGCCATCTCTGATATAATGGCAGTCGTGGGTGTTGGCATTTCTGTGAGAAAGGAGATATTTATTTTAAAATCAGTTCTTAGTCAAAATTAACTAAAGTCTCAATGAAGATATGTATAACCAAATTTCAGTCAAAATAACTTACAAAAAATCATAGGAATCTATGCAAATGAAGTGATATCACAGATTTTTATTTGGTTTAACAATGTTAAAGTATATGATTAATTTAAATATTAAGTATTCCTCTTGATTTCTATAAAATATAAAAACTATACAAAACAAAAATTAAAAAATACACTGTTGGAAAAATGGCGCGCAACAAATGAAAAATGAGAAGTCGTTCTTTATAGCTGCTGCTCAAAACGCAATCAAATAAATTGCAATAAATTAAACAAAAAAAAAAGTGAAATTAAAAACAGTGGAAATAAATGAATGTGTCGCAATGTCACTCACCGTCGAGTTTAATGTTGCCATCGGTTTCGCCCAGCGAATTTTTTGCCACGCAGCGATAGGTGCCAAAATCATTTGGTCCAACGGCGCGAATTTTTAACTTCATATATTTCGTATAACCGCTGACGGTTGATGTGGTCTCATATTTATCACCAGCCCGTGAAGTATCTGTAAAACGCAGAGCGACAGATCTCACAATAAACCTTCATATATGTTTTCTCTTTTTTTTTTTTAAATTTAATGGGGCCTTAAATTTGTACTCTATGCGTAAATTACGGCAGTTGAATTGGCCAAAGCAACTGAAAAAAGTAAATCAATTAATTAATGTCACCTGCATTTTGTGTATGTTTTTGTACTAGTTGTGAGCATTGAGGCGGAATGCGTTTTCAATGGCGACTCAAACTAATTACACTCCCTCATCCTTCTTCTCCATTCATTAACTTAAGGTGACTGCGTGTGTACGTAATTAAAACTGCCGCAGTTCGATATTAAGGGTGATTTCTACCCAGGAACTAAATAAAACTTTTCTCATTAATCAGTGAAAATCTAAAAGAAAAACTTTTGTTCAATGCTTCTTTAGTTCACTTTTTTCCACTCTTGCCGCTTTAATTTCGCTTTGTTCTGCCTATTTTTCGGGGCCCAGACTAGGCTCACAAATAGCTGGAGTAAGTAGCATTAAACATATAAACTTAATTTCACTTTGATTGTTTGGCGCAGTATAATGCGATATCGCATGTTTCTCATACGCCATGTTGTTATGTGCTTCAATTGTTTGTGTGCCTGTGACAAATGTCTTTGGTTTCTGCATTTCGTTTTTGGCAAAAACAATTTACCCTGTGGCGCTTAGCATGCATGTGAGCTACGGCTTCTCTTTTTTATAGTCAGTCACCTTTTGTGACGCGCCAGTTTCTCAGATACTTTCCGTGGCACATTGAAAGCCCCTCTGACACGCAAATATATAATTTAACTCATAATCTACAGCAGTGGCGGCAACCTCGACATATGCGATTTCTGCGACTGATGGCAGTGAGTCTATACTTTTAATATGCCGCCATCCAATATTGGGACATAAAACAGAAGTTTTTTTCCAGGTTCTATACTCCTTTTTTTGTGTTGGATGTGGCATGCATCACTGGTAGTCTGAGAGAGACTTGCTTGTTCTGTCCTCTGACTATGCGCGTGATAAATGGCATGTGCTTGCGACAGTTCAACGAGGGCTGTGCGACAAGTTGATGTGGCAAACTCGTATGTTATATTGGACAGATTTGGGTTAAATAGTGTCTTATAAAGGCAATAAAAAAAGAGGTTACACGGGTTAGACTTTAGTCAAAGCTTAAAGCCTAATACAAATTAATTAACGTGTCATTCGAATTTCTTCTTCATCTGTTAGTTATGATCCTTAATGAATTTTCAGTATATATATTAAAATATACCTAAATCATGAAAATAAAAAGATTAATTATATATATGGATTTTATTTTTATTGTCGCTGAGCGTGTATAACTATGGTAAACCTACCCAAAGGCTTACATATTTTCCTATCTTTTCTCTAATTTGTTTCTTAATTTTTATCTACTGTTACGTTTACTTTTTTTTACGTTGTACTTTATCTTTGTTTTGTATCATTTTGTATCTATATCTATATCTATATATATATATCTATATCTATATCTATATCTATATTTATATCTATATTTATATTTATATCTATATCTATATCTATATCTATATCTATATCTATATCTATATCTATATATATATCTATATCTATATCTATATCTATATTTATATCTATATCTATATCTATATCTATATCTATATTTATATCTATATCTATATCTATATCTATATCCATATCTATACCTATATATATATTTATTATATTATTTGTCTAAGTTTTCTTCCTACCCTCAAACCTCCAAGCACATATATATATCTCATGCGTTTCGCTCCGAAATCGCTTAAAATTTATTACCCAAAACTTTGGGTGTCTGTTTGCAATGCATCCTGTTCGCTGCCGAATTCATATCTCAGTTCGCATTTTGTTTGCTTGCTGCCTATGCGTGTGTGCATATGAAATGTCTCCACTACTGGCTGATACCTCGGTCATAATTTGGAACTTTTTTGTTCACAAATACACAAATACATACACACACGGCTATTTCTTGTTGAATGTGTGTTTTACCTTATCGAACAAACAAACGGCGAAAGTATTTGTTATAATTTCGATGCTCATGCGTCTCATAGGCTGATGACTCATTTTTGGACATTCCAAAATAATCATGGGATAAAAATGGGTGTAAAGTGTGATTTGCGTTTAGCTGATACATTGGTGGTGCAATATATTCGTATGTTTACTTAAAATTAAACATTAGCCACCCAACATGCATTATATTGATTAAATTCTCGCTTTTACGATAATTATTTTCCGCTTTATCTTGGTTATAATGTATAGATTTTTGAGTATCACCCAGTTATGGCTCTGACGCATGTTGTTTAATGCTTTTAGGGGCTCGACGCTTTTCCGCCGCCTGTCCGCAAATCTGTGTGATTATGTTAAAATAATTTTCGTTGCAAATATTATTTTCTGACATTTCTATCATTTCGCTGACACACAGGAATTTGATAGAATTTGCCACATTGTAGTTGCACTTATTGTATTTATTTTATTTGCGATTTGTCAATTTTCCCAGTATATCAACATTTTATTTATTTGCTGGTTTTGATCATTTCCATTTTGGTTATAGCAAATTTCTGTTGCATTCTGAGTTCAGTGGTTAATTAAAACCATTGTGTGAACGAGACTTTATGTAATTTAATCAGTTGCCAATTATTGGATTTGCATTTTAAAAGGAATTTCACATTGCAATAACAGCCACATATATGCAGCACAAATCTTTGCCAACAACTCTAAGTGGAGCATTTCATATATATCTAAATTGAAATTTAATTATTTCAATTTATTTGTCAGTTTAATTAAACGAATACTAAAAGAAGCCATGCAAACATTTTTGCATCAATAAATTGAGTATTAAGTCAAATAATTTTATTACTAATATATAAAACACAAAAAATAATATATATAAATTAAGTTGAATTAAGTAATCATAACAAAATAAGTGAATAATTAAGCAAATAAATATAGATTATATATATTGAATTATAGCTTCAAGAAAGGAACAAAGAAAAATGTTTTCGTATTTAAATTGATTTCATGCTGTATATATTTGATGTTGCCATTAAACGTTTTAACTGAATTATTATTTGTCGAAACAAATTGTTCAGCGCTGCTCAATAAAGACAATTAATTTAAAACCTTTACAGCTCAAAAGTCTTTCCATGTGTGTGTTTGTTTTTCGAATGCCTGTCGCTCAGTACGTATGATTAATACCAAAAGAAATTAAAGGACCACTCAACAGCAACATGAGCAGCAGCTTCAGCGACCACATTATTTTCGACAAACGCATTTTTATACTTTTATAGAGGATATTATTCGTTTGTCATCAAGTTTGAGACAGACGTCTCCGACCCCATAAAAAATATATACACTTGATTAGTATCACTAATCGAGACGACATAGTCCGATGGATCTGTCCGTTTCTATGCAAAATAGTTGCTCCGTTTTGGAACTTTGCATATATCCGTCTTTTTTCTGTAGGCAGTACACATGTCGGGCTCGGTTGAATCGGACCAGTATATCATATAGTTGCCATGGATCGGTCGAATGGACAATTTTTGTCCGATATCCCATTCCAAATTTACCTAATATGAGGGTTGCTATATATTTATACAACAAATTATTAAGATCGGACTTTCCATATAGTTTCCAGTATAGTTGAAACAATAATTTTAAAGATTAGTTCTTGTTTGAAAGTTTGTTTCCAAACTTTCATTAGGAAAATCGGTTTGTTTTTTAAAATTGATGTCGAAGGTTAGATGTCGGAGGGATAACTCCGGCCTATAAGGGTATGTAATATTCGTTGTTTCGTGTTGTTGTTGTTGACATCAGCTGTGATTGCAACTGCAGCAGCTTAACTTATTTTTACGGTTACGCAGTGATGCGAGTTTTAATTTTTGTCAGTTTTCGTGACAGTTTTCTGACTGCCTGCTGTGCTGTACTCTGACCGTGGCAAGGCAGCATGTAGATTGCATTGTAAGCTCATTTACAAACGCTTTTCAGATAATATACCTGGCTACAATGCACAGCCCCACCAGCGTGCAGCTGGCCCGGATTTCGCGGCACAGTGAACTGCTGCAGCACATATGTTCCTCGAGTATGCAAAATTTGCATTAAATTGGCGATAAGTTAAGCTTATGCTTAAGTTGCTTGAACAGTGGACAATACCTGATATTATCATGTCACCGCGCTCAGTGGTCCAATAGTTGATTGAGGCTGGGTAGGCCTCTGTATGGCACTCGAGCATGACATCCTGCCCCAGATATGCACCTTCCAGCTGATTTGGTATAGAGAGCATGGGTGGAACTGTGAATATATACATTTAAATGCATAATTAAAATATATATAATATATAAATAAATACATATATCTTTGCCTTTTATATATGTATTCACTGTCGTCAAATATATCTCGATACAAAAAATACAGAGATTAAAATATAAATTAAAATCATAATAAAATTTAATTTTAATGTCTCTTAAATTTCAATTAATATTATACGAAAGCAATTTTTAAACTTTCTATGGCATTACATTTCCAACCCCAGAAAAACCGTAGTCAATTAAAAAAAGGATTGAAAAGGATGATATGCGCAACCATGACTAAGACTAAGGAAGTTTACATTTGAGTTCTTAATGAAAGGATTGGAAAACCCTAAATTGATTATATTAGTAAGTTAAGATATAACTGGTGGGTATAGGGGGAACATAAATATAATTCAACTTACAAATGTATAACTGAGCATAACACGACTATCACGTAGGGAGGAGGGTCAAAAAAGAGTCCATAGGTGTGTATAAGGGGTCTATGCAGTTCTTAACCAATAATAATGTTTTTGTTTTTCGGAAAACTACAGACAAAATCTTTGAAGATTATTCCAACTTAAAACGCTTGAATCTATTCAGATATCATATATTATATATATTATTATATTATATATAAAATGCATGAAAGAAAACGCATATATTTATAAGTTTAAGTCCAAGCTAAAACGCTGAAACTAAGCTAAAAATATTTGAATTTCAATTAATATATTTAAAGATTATTCTTGCTAAAGTTTTATATTTTGTAAGTCGAGTACAATCCTCAACTGAACTTTATAACCACATCAGTTTGTAACTATTTTTAAAGCACTTTTCGCATGCATTTTACGTGAGTTGGCAAACGGTTTTTGGATTAAAATGCATTCGGTCATTAAAAGAGCGCCTGTGAGCGGGAGATTGTGTCTGGCTATGTGTAAATAGCTTTTGTTACTGCATCAGCTCAAGGGCCGTGTGTGTGTGTGTGTGTATGTGTCATAGCAATGGAAACGCATTTTCGCCACGTACCCAGAGCTGGAGCACAAAATAACACTTGCTGACAAACAAACAAACAAACACAACACCCACAAACATGGCAAAATGAGCGCATGCACACAACAAAAACACACGCAACACATACACACACACGTACGCTCACAGGTAAATTAATTTAACGTGACTGGAGCTTTGGTCGATTTTCGGCCAAGTGCGAGGACCCTCCCTTTTTCGAACACGTCTTCCCACACCCTCCGCTCGGTCCCTTTTTGTTGAGGACACGCAGCGGTTATTGCCCTGAAACTGCAACAGTTAAAAGGCAATTTTGGGGCGGATGGTTAAAGCTAGACAGGGAGATGTGGGGAACCAGGCGCAGGCCTGCCGCTCTGCTTTGTGTATTTTACGCATTTAACAGCGCGTCCGACTCTAGGTGGCCACATCGACCAAACGGCACATAAATGTTGCATAACTGTTGTGCCCCAAAATGGATTTGATGCACTTGCACATTGATTTCGCTATGAGTTTGTTATATAAATCTTAAACTTTGAATCTGTGCAAAGTTTAATTTAACTTTCAATTTCAGTTCAATGACAAATTCACTCACTGCTATAGGTATTTTGCGCATGTATTGATTTCTCATAAATTTTCAATAATTTGGTATTCAACTTTTAAAACGGCAGAAACTCTTGCCTATTTCAAATTAAACTTTTTTAATTTATGTTCTTAAAACTAGGAGAATGAATTAATAATTAATAATTACTGGGGAAAACTGAGTTCGCATATTAAATATGCGATATACTCATCAAAATTAATTATCTTCTTTTTTGCTAAAAAGTTGCCTAAGCGTAAAAATCATTAAAATTTTCACTTCTTTGTTCAGAAAAGAAATCGCACTGACATTCAGAAGAAAAGTAATATTTTCTAGTTTTATAAATAAATTTTATAAATATTAATTATGAAAAGAAAATTTAAATTTTATTAAAGCCACATTTGGCGGTTTTCTTTAAAACGCATCAAAAAGTTTAATGTTAAATTGGCAGAACTATTATTATTTTAAACTCATTTAGGCATTTATGCATTTCCCAATCGTTTCAAGCACTTTCTCACTGTGGAAAATTTAATATTCGAGTTGTACTCACACTGAACTCGCAGATGCACTCGCTTGCTAATCGATGGTGGTACTCCGTTCGATGCCACGCACAGATATGCCGCCATGTGGAGTCGGCTTACTTTGGTGATGTGCAGCAGCTCGCCATCAACGACATTGACTGGTTGTGTGTGGGTTGTGCGTTTGGATGGCAAGAAAAGACAGAAACCACATTGAACAATTGCGCTGTGTGCAGATTGCAAATGTGAAGCTGATTACTCACCATGCTCCCCGCCAATTAGCATTTCCTCGCCGTCCTCTCGGCGCCACATTACGTAGGGCTCTGGATATCCGCGCGCCTTGCACATTAATGATACATTCTGGCCCTCTCGCACGACCATATCGTTGCTGGTCATGCCCTCGACAATCATTGGAGGAACTGCAGCGAAGCGGGTTCAAGCAATGAGTTGTGTGTACTGTGGTTTAATTGACAGTGAATCGCTGAAGTCGCATACTTACCCACCACCTGCAGGTAACCCTTCCTCGAGCGCATTGGATCCTTAAGGAGGAATATAAAAAAATGTTAAAAGTTCAAATTGCTTGGACTGTTTCTTGCAGTGCGATGCATACCGTATTGACCTGACACATGTACCAGCCACGATCTGTTTCCTCCACTTCCTTGATGTGCAAATACCACTAGAATATAAATGTAATAACGAAATAATACTAAGGTAAATATATATATACTTTCCTTCTACTTGAATAGGACACTTTACACTATCTTTGAAATTGCTCATGACTGAAAAGAATCATTAAATACAGAAACTTGTGCACATTATGAATGTGCAATAATTCATTTTTCCTTCCGCTAAGCTCTTAGGTCTGGTTAAATTCCACAATATGTTCGAGGTCGTTGAAATGATGACTTTTATTTTGTATCATCTCAATAAAACATATATTTATTTTGATGGTTATGCTTGGCACGTTGTCTCATTGCGATTATAATATTAAAAAAAAAAACGTTAAAACAAGAAATTATAGCTTACAACGCAAAATTAAGTCCCTGCATTTTGTTGGCTTTTGGTTAATAATATTTTTTTTAATATTTTAATCCATACTTTTTTAATTATAACAAAAATTTAGTCTCTGACGTACTTGGTTAGGGGCAGGATGACGTGTAAATCAATTTGAGCAATCACTTTTTTAGCTCGAAATAATTGTATTTTTTTGAAGTTAATGATTTATAGTAAAATATCTTCAAATCTTGACTTTCCATATTATTACTCAATAATTTATGTTAAAGATAGGAACATTTTTTTGTATTTATACCATTTAATTTAAAATGTTTGTGTATTAATTTCGTAAAATGAATGCAAAATTTTTACATTTGGCCACAAATAAGCCCAAATCTCAGAATAAGTATTCCTGAGTAGTTTTTTACACTTAAATGATTTAGAGTTAAAATTGCATAACTATTATTTTCCCATTTTATGACTTAATAATTTGTGATTAAGACTACAAATCTAAAAGCGTGTAAATAATATTAGTAAAAATAATATAAAATAATAAAAAATTAAAAATAAATATTAGATTTATTGATTAATGATATCACCTTAATGATTTATTAAATCCGAGTATAATATGAGGATTTTGATGTTTGGTTTTGGAAGCCCATCTAACAGTTCAGTGGCCTTAAATTTAGTATTAAATACATGAGAAAACTCAAACGGTATATAGAACTATTAAAGCTTAAGTGTACATGTGAATTCATCAGCAAAGTAAAACTAAGATTTTAAATAAAATTTGAAGCTCTCAAGATTGAAATTGATAGATGATAACAATGATAATGATAGGTTCATAAAATCTTACCGATCGATGATCATTGTAAGTCAAACTAATCCGATTATTCTGCGATATGACATTGTGGTGTATGGAGAGTATCGTCTGTGTGTCCACACGCACCCAGGCCACTTTGTAGCCCTTGAGGTTCTCCACGACGCAGGCGAGCAGAGCATCGCGGCCAATGGAGACTGTGACATTGGCAATGGGTTCGGCGAAGCGTGGCATGTCCGCATCTGTGGAAGTGGGATCAGTAGCAGAAGGAGACACGCCCAGTTAATCAAAGGAATGTCCCAATTCGCTTGGGGCAGAGTTCATTTGCTTAAAAGTTTGCTTGGCCCACATTTGAGTCTGTGGCTCCCTCTTTCAACGGGAATTCGTAAAAGCAAAAGCAATGTGGCAAAGAGAAATGTTGCACACATTGCTTTGACAGGACTTTTGTCGCACTTTTGCTGGATCTCGATGGGACAAACTGCTGCACAGTGCGCGTTCCGTGAGGCAGTGAAAGTGCAGCGAGCCACATAAATAAAGTATAACAAAACAAGCAAAAACAAAAAAATCAAGTTAAAAGCCGCTATATTAATTACCTTCCAGTGCTGTTTGCTGGGTATCCACTCGTGTGTGTTTGCCTGCAGAGAAGAGAAAGTGCACAAAAAGGAGGAGTTAGAAAATTTAATTATATTTTTGGTCAAATAATTTCATTGAGAAAACATTCTGGCTGCCTGTTTCTGTACGTATACGTTATAAATAAAAATTAATTAGCGCCAACTTGGACAAAAACTTTTCGCCAATGTGTCCAGCTCTGCAGTCGCATCCTGTGGACTCTGTTGCTGTCGCCTTATTTGGCTTATACGAACATTTTCACGCAGCGCTTTTAGTTTTTTTTTTTTTCTTTTTTATGACAAAAGTTCAAGTTTAATTGTTTTTCGTCGAAAATTGCAACGATCGCAGGTTTTCCCTTGTGAAATAACAAAAAGTTTCATTTCATTGTAGCATTTTGTTATTTTCTTTTTATAGAATATAATTTGTACAGAACATGGATAAATGTATTTTTACAGTCGAACTACTGAAATGTGTAATTAAATTTTTGAATTCATTTCAATTAAAACGTGCATTCATTAAATTTCAGATTGAATTTTCTGTAGACGAAACTTCGTCATCATTTGAAATCCCGCCAATAAATACAGTAGCCGAAGAAATTTTTTTCACTATTACTACTCTTTTTTTCTTAACTAAAATATTTTTTACAATAATAAACTTTAGAGTTTGAGTACTAGCTAAATTTCTTTGCTCAATAATTTTGCTTAACCCAATTTATTGGGAAATATATATGTCCTTAGGATTTAAATAAAAGTGCTTAAAATACTGCATGATATGCAGTAATCTAAATGTAAAAATATAACTTATGTATATACATGCTATGTGTATATTTTATATTGTGAAAATAAATTATTAGTATTTTCACAGAAAATACCTCAGTTTTATTATTAAATTTTTCCCTCGTGTAATTTTAGAAAAGTTTTTTAATATAGCTTACAAAATTGCTTTTGACTAAAGACTATTTTTTCGCACTGACTCAGTTTTCTCTCAGATTTCAGATGAACAACACGCCGAGTCGAATGTCATTCATCGTCTTATTCCAAAAAGCGAGTCGAATATTCCTGTTTCCATTGACACTTGCAAATGTTCCGCAAGCATTTAAGAAATTTGAGTTAGCGGAAAATCTCATTTCGGTCAATGTGTTCAGAGACGTTGCTCGTAAAATAAAACTGCTAAATTGAAAAACGCTTAAGCATTTTTACAGCTTTCAACACGGCATTGCATATTGAATTACGTTGCCAAGTCAGGAAACAGGAGACGGAGGGAGGGGTCAAGCAGGAGAAGGAAAACTGCAAACGGCGCTTAAAAGTCGCCAGCACCATTTGCCCCTCCACCACTTGATGCTGGCCATCACCGAAGCCATGTCCATTCTCCAATTCCCTCTGGACTTTTGCCACTTTTCAACTTTGGAGCTCACCCCCTTGTTAAGCCCTTCTGCCGCTCAGCAACAACTGTTTATACTTCTTTTCTCTTTGCCTCTGTTTTCGTTGCCCTTCTCTGCTTTGTATTTTGTTTTACTTTCTTTCTTTTTTTGCGACAAGAAAAAATGCTCAACACGATTTTCGCTGTTGATTTACGTTTTAGCACGTTTTTCGTATAGTTTGGAGCTCACTATTTTTGGCATTTGTGGAGAAGGGGGAATGTCGAAATGTCCCCTCATTCAATTTCACCTGTCACGGTCGCATTTGCAGCTTTTTGTGCCATTCAAAAGAAGTTTTCGCGAGCGCCGAGCTGCAATTTAATGAGCAGTTTTTGTTAGTTTTGTCTTCTGCCTTGCCTGCCGATTTGTTTGCCATATAATTTGCGTAATTCCATGCAACGACAGCAGCTGCCAGATGATGCAGCTGCCTTTTAACAAGTATCCGAAATTTGGTGGAACAACGCTCTCTTAAAATCGCTTACATAATGAACAGATTCATATATAGAAACAAATTTGACCTAGTTCCTCCAGAATTCTAAAATCAACCAATGAATCATCCTCATGTTTAATTAATAAATATAATAAATGTATGATGTGAAATAACTTTTGACTACCTTTGAGAATTTATCAGCGATAAATTAATTAATTTGATTTATTCACTTACTGCTGACGTAAAAAGCTCAAAGTTTTTAAAAAATGGTTGAAAAATATAGATGGATAATTATTATAATCAAATTAAAGCTACAAATTAAATGATAAAAATAATGGGTAATAAAGCTTAAGTTTTTTACTTGTATACGCTGTTTTTATTTAACAAACTATTATTAATATTTTATTCAGTAAACTGTTTTTATTTGAAACTAAAGTAAGAGATCTAGGTATTAAATTTTGAATATATTTATATATAAGATAAGATAATTTGCTCATGTTTGTTTCTTAGTAATTAATTGTAAAATAAGCTACTTCAAGCTGAAGAGCTTTATCAATTTGAAGCACGTATCTATTTTTAATTTCTGTTTTCAATAGCCAGCCTACCGCCTACCTCCCAAGCTGCAGGCACACATGTCGCGACATGGACTGGCAACCAGTGAGCGTAAATGTCCACTCCACTCTTCCATGATCTGGAGTGCAAATGTTGTTTGACTCACCTAAGCGAAGGGGCAGAACCTGAATTGGCCCTTTTATGGAAACGCAGCTGACCATTCAATTTATCAGGCTCGACGATGGCTACCTTTCGTTTCGTTTTGTACTGTTTCGCTTTGGTTTTGGTTTTTGGACTTTGAGCAAACAAAAACGTGCTGAAAATTGGCGGCCAGTTTCAATGAGCGGCCTTTGGGCCGAGTTGTGCTCTTCTGGCAAGAGAGGAGGGGAAAAAGTAGATGCAAAAACTGACTCCAAAGCCAATTTGACTGCGCTTTCTTTAGACTTATATGAAGCGAGCAAAAACAAATTGTCGGCATACTTTCAGACGCATAGCCAGGTAATTTAAAGCGCCGCTCAGTTTTATTGGAAATTTATGGGACGCTTAACATTTGAATGCCGCTGTGTACATCAACTGCAAATCGCAAATCTGCACGTCTTTGTCGGTACTAAAATGAGTCGTCAACATTTACGCGACTGCACTTGAAATGGACAAATCATTGAAGCAGGATGACCAAGAGTAGCCAGTACAGACAGCATCAAGTAGAAATGCGCAGCTATATCCTGTGTGTCCACCTTGGCGAGACCCGAATCTAATCTCGGCTACTTTCAACAAACAAATGGACGTCATAAACAAAACGTGCAGACAAAAAAAAAATAAATAAATAAATAAAATAAAAAGAATGAGAAAAACTGCTGTAAATGTGCCGCCTACTCCATTTTCGTGCCCGTTTTCAGGTTGGCTCAAGGAATATACAGTGGCACAGAATAATAAAATATAATTTTCGATTGTGAAACTGAAAGTAATTAATATGAGTGTCATAACTTACAACCTTTTTATATCAAATTAAAACAATTGATTTGTAGCAAACGGACTATAGGCAATACCGATTATCATTCTAGCACTTTTATTAATGAGCATGAGCAAAAATAAAAAAAAAGTCTCGAGAGGTGTGAAGCAGAGAACAAACCAATGATTCAATATTATTTATTTTATTTGGGCTAAAAAAAAGTCCACAACTTTTAAGTGAGTCAATATAAAAAATGTAATTAAATAAACTTAAGAGCTATATAGAAATCAATAAAATAGTAATAAAATAATTATTAATAAAATAAATAAAGCATTGGAACTAAGCAAATGAATGAGAATTTATAATTGCTATGTACAAAAATAATAGAAACATAATCGGGTTTGTTCAAAGCCTTATTCAAAGCCATATTCAAATAAAGTTTTCAATTATAAAAGTGTTTTTAATTTATTTATTGCCGAAAACAACGATAACATAATTTTTAAAACATTTTTATTTTTTGCAAGTATTTTATTAAGCCATTGATCATAATTAAATACATTCAATTATACAATAAGGCTATACAACAATAAAATAGTACTGACCTTCGATTAAGATATTACAATATTTAGATATATGTACATTAGCTTTTGATTTAAGCTCGGTTGCTCGTTGTTTCAAATACGAATATAAACTAAAATATTTCAACTTGCCCTTATTATTTGAACCGAACCCACATCACTTTTGACTGACTGACCCACTGTACAGGCGTCTTGACCCTTGTTGCCCTTTTTGTTGGTTTTCTTTTTTATGGGCCCATCTTTTTTTGCTCGCTATGTTTTCGTTTGCTGGCTTGGCGGGAGTTTATGGAGTGCGGTGGTGGCGGGTGGTTATATGAATGTGGATACTTATGGTTTACTCACCCGCCACGCCTGCTCGTTTATTGTCGTTTATTTGTCTTTTCGCCATTTTTATATTTACGCATATAATCGCTTTCAACGCTCGCCGCCTTGGGGAGCTTTGGGTATATCGGGATAAGTATTGGTTGCACGGTTCATGTTGGACTTGTTGTCCCAGACTTGGTCGTCTTTTATTTTTGTTATACGGCTTTCGGCTTGCGGCTGCTTGTTGAGTGTTTGCCGCGTATAAATATGATGTTATCGCTTTTTATGGTCCATTTTTATTGCCAGCAATCAGTCTTCTGTTTTGTTTGCTCATTGCTTGCCATTATTCAAATGTATTTGTTTAATTCTAGGGGATTGGTCACTGACCGCTGGTCCGCTGGGCGTTCACAAATCATTTCAAATCCGCAATATGTCAACAAATATTTGGACCCCGACTTTTTGGGTTTCATTTGCCAAATGCTCAGCTCGTTATGGCTTATGGTGTGGCCATTATCCTTAAAACTCGAGACGACAAACGAAAAAAAAAAAATAAGAGTCGGGTGGCTGCGGGAATGAAGGCCATAGCGGAGGCAACCAATAAAGCCAATTCAATCACACGCCATTGACGTTTGTAAGTTACCTAATCAGCTATAACTCCTAATCATACTGTGTATACGTAATTAGTTTAGTGTTGACGAGTTGTCTGTCCTTCCCCCTCCTTCTCAATCTCCCTCTCTCACCTTTCTCTCTCTCTCTCTCTCTCTCTGCAACAACTTAACTCTCCTACACAACCTCTC